AGCGATTAGAAGCAGCTGAGAGTCAGCCAAGATGTCAGAGGAAGAGGGTTCCCAGAAGACGCACTAAGGCAGGAGCAAGTGTGAAACATGGGAGGAACGGCAATGAGGCCAGTGTGTCTGGAGAGAGGGGAGGGGGGGATGCTGACGGCGTGGGGTGCAGGGCTTACGTGTCAGGAGAAGGGGAGTCACTGCAGGACTCTGAGCAGAGGGACAGACCTGACTTCCATTTCAACGTGATCCCTCTGGATGCTGGGTTGAGACTAGGCTATTGGGGGCAGAGGCAGGAAAACCTGTCAAGAGACTGGGACAGCCCTCCAGGCAAGGGACAGTGGGTAGCCTGTATCAGATGCTGGCAGTGGAGTGGGGAGAAGACACATATTCCTGCAGGGGACAGGGAGAGCGATTAACGGTAACGTATTCAGAGAGCAGACATTACTTGAACCTGACCTTGAAGGACAGAGAGAATTGGAACAGGAGGAAGAATTAGGACAGGCGTTCCAGGACATGTTAGTTTTGGAGGCAAGAGTGAGTGTGGCTTGTTCTTGGGACAATGATGTTAGTCTAATAAGAGCACGGCAGGCCAGTGTCTGGGGTGTGGAGGGAAATCAGGTACATGAGGTGGAACCAGAATACAAAGAGCTCTGAATGCCACTGTTCACACTGGTGCCTTGTATATATTGCAGGTGCTCAACACGTATTAGAAAACGGGTAAGAAAGACAGGCTTTTAGGACCACTTATCTGGCAGATTGGATTGGCTGGCTGAGAGTTTCTCATTTAGCTCAGCTAGAAGGCCATACAGAAATCCTGGCATGAGGTAACGAGGGATAATTTACATGTAGGTAATTGACAGTTGGCTGTTTTAAATCTTTCTAATGCAAACCATTCGCCACTTGTGGGAACCTCAATCTTGTGTTGGCAATCCCTTACTCAAAAAAAAAATTACGTGGGTCTAAAAAACTGTGTTCTCAAGCAGCCACGTGATCTTAATTCCCAGGTTATAAAAGTTGAATAGCAGTTGCTATCAAATACATGTGCAATGTCTGTGTCTCTAAATTAGTTACAGGTGCAAAATTGTCTACCAAAAACGTGAATCTCGTAGAGGTTTATAGAGACTCCCACTCAGACGAGTCTGATTCATTTTCTACCACATATTTTCACAAATACTCAACAGTACTAGGTGGACACAAGGCATTTTCTGGACAACTTTCTAATGCCTAATTAAGGGTATCCAAAGGAAGCTAAAATAACAGGCACTTTGTGTCTGTTCTGTTGATTGAATATAACTAAGAAATCTACTTTGGTCAGATTTCCTCTGACACAAAGAATACATACCTTACTAAGAGCTATGATGATTTCAGAATTTCCTCATCTTATTCAAGGTATAAGCGAGAATGCTGACAAAGGTCATAATCTATGACGACCTCTATCAGAGGTATAAAAATTGTTCTTCACTTAACGACCCATGTTTTACACTGCAATAAACAGTTTATATGGATAATTGCTGTCCGGTAGCAATTCATCATACGGAGAACATGATCATCTAAGGCAATTTTCATTGTCAGAAGAAAACATAATCATCGCTCTCATTTAGGCACAAAGAATGACTTAACTTCTGGATATTCAATCTTTTCATGGATAAATGTTAATAAAAGTGGGAGGTAATTCCCCCATTTAAAAACATCAGACATGATGCTTTCTCTAAGTCTGATCATTTCCTTATCAAAACATTCATGGGAGCTCATGCAGAGGCCTCGTCTCACTCAAAACTGCCACTTGCTTTGATTCCTAAGGAATCCTGCTGATTTCCCCACCATGTTCCTTAAAATGCTTCACATTTAGGATATTATATGTCTTCCATTCGATCCACAAGTGATTAATACTACAAGGCCAGGCCAATAAACTCTATACAGGCTGTCCGGTGTGCTTTCGCAACTACTGTGTCATTTAATCCTCACAATAGCCCTGTGTTTTCTGTTAACATATGTGCAAACAGAGGGTAGAGAGGATAAGTGACTTGCTTAAATTCACACAGAAAGTATGTGGCCAAGACAAGTTCAGGAGTTACATTCCCTGATACTACATGGGTCCCCTCAAACTTCTGGAAAGGTAAAGACTTGGGTCAATTATCTAAACGCTTCCAAGTACACAGCTGCCTGCAGTCACACAGCCACAGTTTGTCTCCCTCAATAGAAATGGCGGCCAATCAATCACTCACTCCTCTCTCAGGAGAGACTCTCATTTCAAAGAATCATCTATTGCAGCATTTGTCATGTCTCTAAGGCACACTTCCATTGCTCAACCAGCTCCAAAGGACAAGCGTGTCATCATCTTTCAATGCTCTGGTGCAACAATTTAAAATTAGGGAATTCACACAGGACTGAGTCTGGCACTAAAAGTGGGAGGCATATTCAGCTTAAGTTTATGGAGCTTCCCTTCAATCTTGCCAATTTCTCTAGTGGAAATGGTTTCAGAGCCAGCATGGGGTTACTTGGGGTTCCTTGAAGAGCTCATGATGAAAACAGAAAGGGAAATAAGATAAAGAGAGTCACAGTGATAATGAAGCCCAGGAAAACGTATAGAAGTCCCCTTTGGGCACAGTGGCTACACACAGTGGAGTTTTTAGTTTCATGAATGGGACCAATATGGCTGGACATCTGGATCATTCACACTCAACGAGCCACTCTGTCTTCAGTAGCAGCACTCAGATCCTTGCAACATCCCTCTTCCCCTTTGCCTGTGATACAGATGAATTCCTGTATTGAGGCCAAGTACCTAATCTCTGCAGTGTTTCACCTCTGCTGGCCTCAATTAGCTAGGGATGACCAGATTCCCAATTTGTTTTCAAGTTTGTTTGTCTGTTTGTTTTGGCAACGGTGGAGTATTTAGTGGTCACCTACAAAATATGATAGAGGCTTACAATCACAGGTCTTTGGCCTTAAGGAACTCATATTTTTAACAGAAAAACATTTATGAATAAGGAGTAATCAGAGACCATATAACACAATAGTTAAATGATTGGCACAATATATAATTTCTTAACTGCTAATAATTCTATTCTGTACCATGTTAATGAAGAAAAAAGTACTGGGTTATTCTTTTGAAGGGGATTTGAGAGTCAAACAAATTAAACCCAGGGGAAATTCAAGGCATAAAAATAAAGAGATTAGCACAGGATGAAAACTAACTTGAAACCCGTAACTATCCCTTACCATAAACAGTACTTGCCCCAGTTAACCTAAAACATTTGTTGTACTGCATTCTGGACATATTCTTTTCAAACAGACAAAACTATCAAATTTTGACTCAAGAATTATTTTACAGTATAGCTAGGACATTCTGCCCTGATGCAGCATAAACGAAAAACCGGAGAAAGATAGCAATACTTCTTATGGCTTAAAGAAAAACAGAGTAACAGACTTTTATATAATATAATGAAACTAAACTCCTATTTAAGAGACTCAGATGACAGAAACATACATTGAGTCCAGTCATCATAAGAAAATGAAATGGTATTTCATGAAATATTTTCTCTTACTTTTTAAAAAGCTTGATGTTTTAAAAATTTGTGATCAATATGTTCAAACTTCAGACTTCCAGAAAAATTGGAAATCAAAATGTAAAGCCAACCATTTCAACAAATAGGCAACTTAATTTTACTGCTTTAGCACTTGTATTGTAAAACGTGAATTAGACTAGTTAACACAACCTATTTTTATGTGGCATCTGTAAGAAAATGCCCAGAAATATAGAAATACATACAAAACAGTACAAAACAGAATCAGCTGTGCTAATAGGCTCCAGTAGAAGGAGCTACAGAAATAAGAACTTACATTTTGCAAATGGCCAAGGAAGAAATACTGAAAATGAAATATCAGAATCTTTCATAACCGAACAAAAGTAATAATCATTTACTTAGCATACAATAGGCATTAGGGGCCTCATTTTCTTTATGTGTAAAATGCAACACTTAGACCTTCTCGAGGTCCACACACGATCCTACAAAGCCTTAGGCGCTATGCTTCACACCCTAAGAAATACAAAGAAGAATACAACTTGGTCCTACACTCAGGAACCTTACAATTCTTTGGGACAGATTAAAATGTACATGCAAGTATCTAGATTTCAAAGTGGAGCAAAAACGTGCAAAGAGTACTTTAAGATGAATAAATGCTGTGAGAGGGATAAACACTGCTATGAGAGACAGGTAACACAGAAGGCTAAAAGCAGGAAAGTGACTCTTCAGGTATTCTAAAAAGACCTTAGGTATTTGGGGGAAACATATATAAACCCAGGAAATAAAAATAAATAGGTGGATGGACCTAGAGGCTGTCACACAGAGTGTAGTAAGTCAGAAAGAGAAAAACAAATATCGCATATTAATGCATATATGTGGAATCTAGAAAAATCGTACCGATGAACCTGTTTGCAAGGCAGAAATAGAGACACAGACACAGAGAACAAACGTATGGACACCAAGGTGGGAAAGGGGAGGGTGGGATGAATTGGGATTGACATATATACACTAATACGTATAAAATAGATAACTAATGAGAACCTGTCGTATAGCATAGGGAACTCTACTCAGTGCTCTGTGGTGACCTAAATGGGAAGGAAATCCAAAAAAGAGGCGATATATGTATACATAGAGCTGGTTCACTTCACTGTACAGCAGAAACTAACACAACATTGTAAAACAACTATAACCCGATTTAAAAAAATGAATAGGATTTTTAAAAATATAAATATACCTTTAATGCTTAAAATTCAGGACATAGGAGGCATGCACAGAGATAAAATAAGGATTCATTTAGGCTTTCTAAGAAGTTCTAAATATGCTTATAAGTGAACACAGTAGTAGCAAACGAAGCATCAAAATACTGAACTATACACATCATTGTATTAGAACAAACATAACTTGGAAAACAAACTACAAGAACAATTTCACCCTCTTCCATGATGCCCGAAGTATCCCAACAGCCGTATCTGGAATTCACTTTACCTTGTGAAGTGCTTGCAGACAGTGTGTCAGCGAAGGAATCACTCTCTGGGTCAATAAGAGAATCTCCCAGAGTTTCACCCATCACAGCATGGAATAGGAGTTTGCTGTGATTCACACTGATATTTGTCTATTTCTTGCAAAAGACCAACCCGTTAAAAGAAAAAGATTTGTGGTAGTAGAACTTGTGAACGCACCAATGAGTCAAGACATCAGTTTCCAAATATTTGGGGGAGGTGGGAATAAACTCACAAAGGACCAGGCCTGAATTGGCTGGCACCCTCCTGTTGGAGACCAGCTGTGACAGAATGTTGTGTCATAATCGTGTTCACTGCTTTGGCAAGACTTGGTACATTACAAGGAAAACATTGCCACACCGTCTCGCCAGTGACCCTCATGTTCCGTGTCTTGTGAGGGGCGCAAGCGAGCAGCAGTACAGTATTGAGAACTCTTGGAGCAAAGAGATTTTTCAATATTCAATTGCTTCTTAAATGGAAAGCTTTACGTCTCTGGGTTATGAAATAAACTTACTTGGGCAAAGCTTTTTTCTGTCTTCCAATCCCTGGTTGAATCTATAATCACACTATCTGATATCTGAAGAAAACATCTGAATTCAAGTATGTGATCGTATTTTAAAATTTGCTATCAGCTACTAAAATGTTCTAAGGTATTTATTCTACTACTTTGTAAAGTATGTAAAAAATGATGCTGAAAGCTATCCAAATTCCATAAAATTAAAGAGTTAAGAGACTGGAGGCAGGTCCAGCTATGGCTTAGATTTTATATATCAGGGTCTGCTTTTTGAAAACTTAATTATTAAGTTTATCCATCAATAGCAAATACATCAGCTGATGTCTGAACATCAGTTAATGTTGAAACAATAAATTCCCTCCCATAATGAAAAAAGTGGAGCTCTCCCTGAGAGGAATAATGCATTACCAGAAAAAAAAAACAAAAAGCGGACTTACACTGATAGGTTGGCGAGGAATTGTGGTCAGTTTTGTAATCAGGAAAAAGCTGGCTTCTTGCTCAAGGCCTTTGCCCTTTTTGGCAAAGAGAAACACTAGCTGTGCCAAACCCCAATGTGGGAGCAGGCCTCCTCCTGTCACATAAGTGGCCTCATAGAACTGCAGTGACTTATGGATTTAAAAAGATGCCCCACATAGGGCAGTATATCAGATGGCAACAAATCTCTGAACACACTCATCCCAGTATTCCCCAAGTGGAAGAAATACATATCTGATTCATCTACATTGAGTAACGAGTCATCCTGCAAGGGACTTCCTTGTCAGTCATGGAGCAACAGCTCAGTGGGAAGAACACTTAACTGGGTCTCCACAGTGCAGAATAAAGTGTAGAGTTGGGCAATTACATAGTGTATAAACCTTTAAAAACCAAAAAACCTTTATTAAGGTAATCTGAGTTAAAGCAAGGTTCTTTTTTTTTTTTTTTTAACATCTTTATTGGAGTATACTTGCTTTACATTGTTGTGTTAGTTGCTGCTGTATAACGAAGTGAATCAGCTATATATATATGTATATCCCCACATCCCCTCCCTCTTGCGTCTCCCTCCCTCCCACCCTCCCTATCCCACCCCTCTAGGTGGTCGCAAAGCACCGAGCTGATCTCCCTGTGCTATGCAGCTGCTTCCCACTACTAAAGCAAGTTTCTGGACAGTCCAAATGACTGGGGGAATTATAGTTGCATAGAACTAGTTTTTTCTATATTCACTTTGAATATTCTCAATAAAGGAGTTTCTCTTTTCCTCTCAATGGGAAATTTCGCACCATGACATATTTAAAGGTGTGTTAATCCAAGATTCTTGGTTGAATTCATGATAGATAAAAATAAATGATTAAAGTCAAGAACACTTTCCTTCTTAATAAAACAGAACAAAAATTTAAGCCCCATTCTGCCTACAGATACTCCTACTCAATGTCCCAAGATGTGTTTGAGTCTGAAAGGCAAATTCAGCTTTATTCCTATTAATTAAGTGGCAGTATCTCACCCAATTCCCTATCATCACCTCATTCTTGCCTTCCGATGCCAAAGTCTAATTTAAAAAAAATGAACAAGTTTATTAAAATGTTCTTAAGATTATGATGGATTATAAGAATGATAAAGTTTGCAGAATGATAGCCATTTTTGAGTGAGAGAAGCCCTTTGTGGTCTAAGGCTCTATTAATACGATGAGAAAAAGCGGCCCCTAAATGACAAGTAAATTCTCCAGATTGAACAGCTAGGGAGGGGCGGAGCCGGAACTTGAATCTAACTCTCAGGCCAGTTTACTATTGGCCTTCACCAACTCCCACTCTTAGAAGTGTCTAAATCACCGCTTTTAATAAATCAGGTGCAACAGGGATAGACTATAGGGTGACTTCAGGGGAAAATAAGTCAACTCTTTCAAGGAACATCAATGAGTAACTGTGTTATTCACTTTTCAGTATCTATGGCTATGGAAGGGGTGTGGGGAGTTTCTCAATGCCCTTCTTTCTCTCATTCCCACATTTCCTCAATGACCATGTAGCTCATTTATGCCACATAATTCTACCTGAGGATGGTCTTAAGTTTTGTTTCTGAGGCTGACAGTATTACCTAGTTCTCGAGTTCTGTAGTATTCATTCTTTCCAACGATCATCAAAGGGACTAATTTCTGGATTCTTCACTTACTGTTACTTCTATTCTTTTTTTTCTTCTCAGACACCATTCAACTTGGCCTAGGTCCTGTGTCACTAGAACTTGTAAGCCTCTAATAGTTCTGACAGCGTGCTTCAGCTATTCAAACATAAAATTATTTTTAACAGCTAATTATTCCATAGCACCTGAATCTAATACTACCGACTCTTACAGCACCACAATCTGTCAACCCTTCTCCCCTAGACGATATTACTTGAAAGCAAAAACCTGACCTATTCACTGTTTTCCATTCATTTATTTATTCAACAGATATTTATTGGCAATATATCACACTATATTGGCAGGCGTGGCGCTAGGTGCTGGCTTGATGAACGAGATGGATGTGTTCTTATGTGGTGGAGTTTAAAAAGTCAGCAGACAAAAATTACAGTTTTAATAGAGCCTGGCACATAGCAGGCGCAATAAGTGTTGCTTAAACTCTTGACAACATATCAAGCAATATAGAAAGTACCCCAAGTTACTAACAAAATACTTACATAATATAGATTGTTTAATCATATTTGTTATGTTAGTGATAATGTTCTGTCCTATCACACTGTAGCACTGGGTCACTTAAGAAACAACTTGCTCACAAATTAAAATGGACAAAAACAAACTGACCCAATCTCATTTGTATCTAATTACACAGCTATTTTGTCCTTAGATATTGAAAAGGCATTACATTTTATTTTACAGCTATCCACTCATGCATCCCTCAGATGTTCATGAAATACCTACTAAGTGCCAGGTATTATTCTAGGCATAGGAGATAATACATTCATAAGCCAAGGCTCCTATCCTCAGTGAGTTCACGTTTAACTATATTTATCAAAATTATCCAAATATACCTAAAAGAGTGATAGTTTAGCTTACTTAACTTTGAAGGTCAATTAGCATGTGCCGATATCATAAATAATATATTTACTTACCGTTACCATCAGACAACACAGTATGTGATCACCAGAAAATTTATGAGAGTTTCGACATGCATGTGAATTTCTTTATCTTCAAGGTCTTAAGATTCCCCCAGTATCTTATTCTTTATAATATCAAAATTTGAAGGATATTATAATAAGATGCATAAAAGAGCATGCCGGTGAATGGGACTGTTATGTAAGGTCTTGGAGCTTTAGATCATGTCTAGGTGTTTGGTACACCAACTGGTTATCAGCACTTTGCACTGATACCTCTAGAGGTACTGAAGGGTACCTCTATATAGAGGAGCGGGAGAAGGCCACCTTCCTTATGCAATTGCACAAAAGCTAACCCAGCTTCCTCTATTGAGGAATGTTGGGTTTTGTGCCATGTAGAGGTGAGAAGATCGTCTCCCCTTGGACTTTGATGACATAGTGGTATGGATGTGATTGTGGGTACAGTACACACCATCAGCAGGAGGAAGAATGGGGATAATCAGGAATTATGATATAAGGGGAGGATGAAAAGCTTAATGCTATCCTATGACGTTAAAAAAAATGGACAGTTTGGTATTTGAGAAGGCTACTCTACAGTATTTGGTCTTCAATATTATTTATGAAACTGTCTTTGACCAAAAGAATCTGAATCTTCCTCAGCCAAAATACTCCCAAAATTCTAGTACATTTAGAGAAGGCAACTAGAGTAATAACAGCTATAAATGATTCCATGACAAAAAGAGAATGTCTAAAAATGTATAATTAACAAAATCATGGTATTATATCTATATGAAGTTTTATAAAAAGTATTATTCAGTGTTTAGAATGATTTACATCAAATATTCCCATACAATAGAATATTTTTCATGTCACATTACTCTCGAAAACTAATTAAAACCTTGCTCTTTTTTTATCGAGGTAACATTAGTTGGTAACATTATATAATTTTCACGTGTACAACACTATGTTTGCACTTCTGTATACACTACAGCATGCTCACCGCCAAAAGTCTAGTTTTCTATCTGTCACCATACAATTGACCCCCTTTACCCATTTTGCCCTCCCCTCAACCTCCTTTTCCCTCTGGTAACCACCAATCTGTTCTCTGAATCTATGTAAAACCTTGTTTTGGGGGGCTATAGGTTAAACTTAGATTAAATTTCATTAAATTTCATTAATGAAATCTCATTCTCTAGATTGAATTTGAATTTTAAAAAACTGCTTTAATTGCTTTCTTTTCCTTTTCTGTAAAGCAAGCTATGTTAGTACAAGTTAGAATGGTGCATATAGTATTCTTTTCTTTTGCTATAGCCCCATTTAAAAACTTGCTTCATTTCATGCTACAAGCGCTATGACCACTCACCTTAGGTCCTAAAAGGTCAGGAGCTCCTTCCCTAATACCTGTGAGCATCCCTCAGGCCTTGCACAGTGTCCCTAGTTGGCATAAAGCGCGTGTTTATTGCTTTTGTTGCTGATGAGAACGATGAGAGGACAGCTGCCTGACACATCTGTCTCACACGGATCATTCAAGGAGTTCAGACACCTCAGGAACTGACAACACCTTCAATTATCTTCTTGTTCTGACAAGACTGACATTTCCCGATGGTCCTCCAAAGAAAGCCACATAACTGCCAACAACCAGGACGACTACTGAAAAGCTCACTTCCCCCTGCCCA